AAAGGATGCATTCCCCTCTTATTGAATCAGAATCGTTCATAATCACCAGTCAGATTCCATTCCAGCCACAAGGTGAGGGTCCTTCAGGCTGATCTCAGAAACAGGAACACTTTCTGGTGGCTTATTGAAATACTGGAAGTAGTCCCTGGGCCGGCCTCAACCAAATCGGTAGGACTGCAGGTCTCCCAGGCAGAATGAAAGCCACCCAGGCAGACAGCTTGGAACGTACAATGAAGCTGAGTCCCCCAACCCCACCAGCCTGGGCAGGCAGCTGCCTAGTCCTGGCCCAGGGCACCCTCTTGTGGACAGAACCCCACTCACACCCTCTGTCCTGTCGAATGTACAGTCCATACTCCAATCCCAGGCTGAAGGAGCCCAGGGGCAGGAAACCAGTAGGCAGGTGGAGGGGGCGATATCAGTGATTTTTTTTTTTTTTAAACATGTTTTAAAACTTTATTTCTTTTTAGCAGACCTCTGCTAGCAGGAAGGGCTATCTGTGATCTTGAAGGGCTGTGAGAGGAAGCAGGTGGGCAGCCCTCCACGCCACTAGGTGAATCCCCGGGGTAAAGTGGAAGAGCCAGTAGGGTCGGGAGAGATTTCTCAGGGGCCTGAAGGACGGGCCTTGGGACTTCCCGGAGCCTTCACCCCCCGGCTAAGGCAGCCCAAGCCTAGATAGATCATCAGGTGTCTCCCAGACTTTAGGGCTTGACCCAGACAGGGCTCAGAGGGGTTTCCAGGGCATGGGTAAGTCCCAGGTAGTGGGGTGGAACCTGGAACTAGAAGGAGACGCCAGCGACCCGGCTGGTTCCACAAGGTCATCCCTGGCTCCATCTGACCTTGAGATTAATCCTGCAGCCTCCGCCAGCCCGGCCACCATCAGCGCCCAGACGCCCGGCCCATTTTCCTTCTCTCCCCTCGCACGTTAATTGCTCAACGTTGATTTGATCTCCCGTTCTGCACAGAGGAAATTGCCCTCTTACCCATTTTCATCCTGGGATTTTTTTTTTTTTTTTTTTTTTTTTTTTTTTAATTAGGCTCCTTCAGCCTCTCAGGGCGATGACGGGGAGCCATTTTGGTCTCTGCCTGAAGCGGCCGTGGAGAGCGGAGGGGAACTGGATGAAGCCCGGAAAGCCCTCTCCCCGTTCCCGCCAGGCACCGGGGGGCTCGAGCAGCCGCCACTCGACCCCTGACTATCCCCAGCGCATGTCCCCTTCCTGGGCGAGGTATAAGCACCAACGTCTCCAAGCAGAGGCCGGAGCACTGCAGCCCGGAGGAAAGGCCTCGCCCAGGCCTCGCTGCCAGAGCCAGAGTGGGGCGGGGGGACCCGGGCCCGTAACCCCCACGCAGCGTCCTGGGCTCCCGTCTCCTCCCTGTCTAGCTCACGGGGGTCCCTTTCCCCAAAGCCCTAGCAGGACGCAGCCCCTCAGTTACCAGGAAGCCCGTCTGGCAGACAGAGGGCGAGCGCCGCCTCCAGAGCGCCCAGCTACAGCTTCTCGAGCCGGGTGGCCGCCCACCTGGGGAGGTCACCCCCAGAACAGGGGTGGGACAGAAGCAGCATGCCCCCCACCCCGGGCCCAGGGTGCCCCAAGTAAGCAGCTAACGGCGGCAGACTTGGTTCGCCACATCAACTGGTCTCGCTCGGGCCGCCGCTGGAGGCGTGGGACTGGCGTGGCCGCAGCGCCACCTCGTGGTCGTGAGGAGGGACCGTGCCCCCATCAGCACCCAAACCCCTCGGCTTCCCCGGGCAAGGCTGAGGCGTGGGGACACCAGGGGACAAGCGTGTTCCCTCTTCCCTGTATCCCCCACCCCGACCCCCTCCAGGCAGCATCCGCACTCTGGAGGGGGCCCACTGGGTTGAATCCTCGCGTTCGCTGTCAGCCCTAGACCCATTCCAAAGAGACAGGACCAGAGGGTACAAAGCACAGTGTTTACTAAAGGCACAAAGTGGGGGGTCGGAGGGCAGCTGCTCTTCCGGCAGTGACCCCTCCCGCTTCTGGCAGCCCCCGCGCTCACACCACCTGGTGGAGAGCTGTTAGCACCAAAGTGGGGGGTGCCCACCTGTGGGAGGGCCGAGGACCAGGCTGCGGGGCGGACCTCCTGCCATCTGAGTCCCAGAAAGGCAGGCCTGGGCACCCCCAGGACCAGTTGCCTCAGGTAAGGAGTCTCCCCGACCCTCCAGCATGTCCTTCACTGGTAATGAGGGGTCGGGCTCAGAAGACAGGGCGTCTCCACCAGGCCCTCTTCTCACCTCTAGAACACCCTGCCCCTCACTGCCCCACGATTCCATCTCCGGGAGAGGGGCTGAAGGCCTCTTCCCACTGGGCCAGTCAAGAGGGCTGCCCTGGGGGTGCTTCTCCTGACCCCACAGGTTGCCAGACAGGCACTAAGTCCAAACAGGGGCCAGCAGGGAGGAGGAAGGCAGGGCAGGTGGCTACTTCACACACAGTGCAGCCTGAAGGGTGGGAGGGAGGTGCCCCCAGCCCTCCCAGCCCCCAGGCCGGCCCCTGTTCCCTGGCACAGGGGCAGCCAGGGTCACAGCACATCGCCCTCCTCCATGCTGAAGCTGCTCCGGCGGCTGCTGGCCTTGGAGGCCTCGGGGGACATGGTGGACAGAAGTGGATCAGAGGCCAGCGGTAGCAGTGAATCATCCAGGAGCATGAGGTCCAGATCCTTCTTGGACAGGCTGGGGAATGGGGAGCCATGCTCTGGCGCCAGGGGTTCGGGGTAGCCCGGGGGACCCTCGTCCTCCCTGCCCCCAAAGCTCAGGCTGTGGCTGAAGTCCAGGTGATGGAATGGGGATGGTGGCTGGGTGGGCAGGGGCAGTGGGGCTTGTGGGGGCAGAGCTGGCAGTGGCTCAGGGTCAGGGACCTCAGCCCCCAGCATCAGGGCCTCCCCTGGGCCCTCTTCGCTAGGCAGCTCCTGCTTCACCACCTGCTGGGCCAGCTCAGCCATGTTCATGCCGGACGGGGAGGTGGTAGGGAGGCCGTGCACTCGAGCCTGCATCTCCAGCTCCTGCAGGGGAGCAGACAGAAAGCTGGGGAACACACCCATGGGTACCAGCCACCAGGACCCCTCCCCGGGCCTCTGTCACAGCACTTGCCCCTGCCCTACAGCACCCAAGACCCAAAGTGTTTCCACTGGAAGAAAACATCGGGTAGCTCTAGAGTCTAGACCAGTGTTTTTTCAGACTACAAGTGGTAACTCATTAGTGGGTTGTAAAACCACTGTAGTGAGTCTTGACCAACTTTCTATTTTTTAATTGAAATTGACTTGTCTAGACTAGACTAGAATAGAAATTATTAGAATGCATTGCATCTATTAAGGATGAGTGGAGCGTTCCTTCATGAAACTTTGATTTTTCACTTTGAGTGTGCCTGTGTGTGCTAGATTTTAATGTAAATTGTATCATCTACCATAAGAAAGAGAAACAAGGTGCAGTCCAATCGCCCTTTGTGTAAAGGGCCAGCCTCAGGTCTAAAGAGGACAAGAGAGCCTCAACACAGAGCCCGGACTAGAACTCTCAGTTCCAGCTGGTAGGGCTGACTCTGCCAAGCTCCTTGTTCTTTAGGTTGGCCCTGTGGAGATTCCTAGTGCCACCCACCAAATGATTGCAGCTCTCCACCTTCCAGGTACGTAATAGGTTTGCATTTTCCTGCCTCTTGAGGTTAGAGTACTCACAGAGTGTGCTTGCATTGGCCAAGCCCATTGAACAGAAGTGACATGTGGCACCTTAAGAGTGGCAATGGCTTTAAGAGCCAGCTCTGATGTGCCATCAGAGAGCTAGGTCCCAGCAGCCTGGGTCCCAGAATGAGGGTCTCACAGAACAGAACCTCCAACTGATATATGTTGCTTAAAGATGCTGAGGATTGTTTGTTACCAAAGCAAAACATCCTAACTTGATACATCCTCCTTCCTAATGGGCATCGTTCCTGTGTCTCCAACTTCAGAAGTCTAAGTACTGCCCCCCTGGGGCCAGGAGCCAGGTTAAGGGTCAGAGTTACCAAAGAAGTCCAAGTTCAGAACCAGACCTGGATACGGAGCCAGAGTTGCTTGTTGGTCATCTCCAGGCGGCGAGAGTGGTTCTCCAGCTCCCTGGACTTCTGCAGGTCCTTCTGCATCCTCCGGATATAATCCACAGAGGCCTTGAGGATGGTGCCCTTGTTCCAGCGCACGTCCCTGCAGCAGCAGGCCAGGCAAATTAGAGGTGTATTGCTCAGAAGAGTGGCCAAATCCTTGCCACTTCTCTGGTTGCAGAGTTTATGTGGCCTGTCCCAGTCTTACCCAGCAACCCCAGACCTAGAGATGGAGGTGGCTAATCTCAGTTTGCACAGAATAGGCCCTCCCTGGTGACTTCTGTTGCCACTGCCCACCTCATTAATCTCATGAAACCAGACAATTCGGAGCAGACTTCTTCCCAAGACTACCAAGATTCCAGCCCAGCCTACCCTGGACTCTCATTCCTCCTGCCCCTCAAACACCTTTTTTTTTTTTTTTTTTTTTGAGACAGAGTCTCGTCCTGTTGCCCAGGCTGGAGTACAGTGCAGTGGCGAGATCTTGGCTCACTGCCACCTCCGCCTCCTGGGTTCAATCAATTCTCCCGTCTCAGCCTCCCAAGTAGCTGGCACTATAGGCACACACCACTGTGCCCAGCTAATTTTTGTATTTTTAGTGGAGATGGGGTTTCGCCATGTTGGCCAGGCTGGTCTTGAACTCCTGACCTCAAGTGATCTGCCTGCCTCAGTTTCCCAAAATGCTAGGATTACAGACGTGAGCCCAGCCTCTTGTCTACCAGCCAAATGGCCTTAAGAAAACTTTCTCAGCATGACTCCTCCTCCAGGAATCCTCCCTTGACCTCAGCCTCACTTCCAGGACAGAAATTCATCTGTCTTGAGCTTTCCTGATTTGGGAGAGGGAGAGATCTTTTCTCAAATAGATAAGGTTCTAGAAGGAATTCTGCTCCCAACCTAGCAACTAGCACAGGGCTGAGGGCAGATAATACTTGTCAGCTGCTGCCCACCACAGACCCATCACCCTCCCCCTCAGAAACCTGCTCACAGGTCATTGGCCTTGGGGATCAGCATTCCCAACTCCTTGATGCGGTCGTTGATGTTGAACCTTCGTCTCCTTTCAACTAAAGGTAACAGATTCCAGAAGGAGCAATTAGAGGGATGGGGATCCCCCGCCCCATGGGGAGAAGTATCCAACCCAGGGAGGGGTGCTTCAGGGCAACCTGCAGCTTAGATTTGTCCTTCTAGGAAGTAAGAGGTGACAGATTTGGATTTCTACAGGGATGAGGGGGTCCAGGGCAAAGGCCAGACACAATTAACAGCGCTGAAAGGTAGAATCAGCCCTAGTGATGCTGGCAGCACAGCAAAGCTGTCTGGGGTAGGACTCTTCCCCGCTACACAGAACTCTGACGCCCCAGCTCCCATGCCTTAACCCAGAAAACAACCTGATAAACTGGGGGTTTCATGAATATCCCTTCCAGGAATCCTTCCCACCCCCTCCTAAAGAGGTCTAGTGGAAAGACAGCACTAATAGACCCAGGCACCACTGAGTGACAGCAGTGGGAGGGCTTAAGCCATCTGCAAGTGAATTGGCCATAAGCAGGGAAGCCTTCCACCTGTGCAGGTCAGGGAGTGGCTTTTTAGCCAGCCCAGGTGAGAACAAGGAAGAGGGAGGCAGGGAGACGGGGAAGGGCAGGACTCACTTAAGTTGTGATTGTCTTTCTTCTGCCGCTCCTTGGCCAGGGCCCTGCTCTCAGCATCTGGAGGCCAAAAGAGAAGGAGAGAGGAGCTGAGAGGGAGGGAGAAAAGGATGAGGAGTTGGGTATTCAAAGGCACAGGGATAGAGGGAGGCAGTACCTGTGAGCTCTCGCTTCTGGGTCAGGTCCGCAGGGCAGGAGCTGCTGGTGACACCCACCAGGGAGGCTGTGACCTGGGGGTCGCTGCTGTACACATTCAGGTGGCTGCTGGACAGGGGTAGCTGTGGGGTGGGGGGTGAGGGAGACCCATGAGTATCCCCCTGTCCACGGGGAGCCCCCTCTGGGGCCTGTCATCCCAGAATCAGTCCTTCCCGGGGACACCCAGAGTGTCAGAATTCACCTTGGACCCCTTCACCCAGCAATTCACCCTGAAAGTCTGCAGAGTCCAGAGCTGAATAAGATGCATTCCCTGCCCTCAAGGAGCCCCTGGCCTAGAGTGGCTGAGAGAGTGATCCAACCAATAATATGTGATAGGATTAGGCCCCAGCCAGGCATTATGGAAGCCCTAGAGCAGGTCATCTAATCAATTCTAGAGTTTCTGGACAGTTTCCTGGAGGGCGTGGAACTCAGTAGAGTCTGAGCAGAGATGTGAGACAAGGCACTCCGGGCAGCCGCCAGGGCACAAGCAGACAGGGCCGCTTGGCAGAGCATAATTCCAGCAGCTCAAGGGGCAGAAGTGGTGGGGGTGGAGGTGCTGCAGGCAGGGCAGATGTATCTGGAGCCCCAGTACAGTGTTTGACTTGCAAAGATACTGGAGTTTTGGAATGGGCAGCCAAGAGAAGTTTAAGCAGGAGTCTGACAGGGAGAGATCTGAGCTCTGGAAAGATCTCCTGCCACAGAAACATGCAGAACAAATCACAGGCCCAGACACCCCACAGTGTACACAGGAACTACTAAAGGGACCAATCGCTCGCACCCTCCCTCCCTCCTCAGCCCTCGCCGCCCCTGCTAGCTGTAGTTTTGGACCCAACCAGTCCCGGCCAGCTCCTGCTAGGCCACTCAACGATGTCACCAGGGCAGTGGGGACTAAGGATTGACTCCCCACCACAGGAACTGGGGACTTTCCCTTGGTGGCATGGGCTGGGGCCAGGATCAGGGTAAAAGGCTCATGCCCAAAGGCAGGAGTAAGCTCCAAAGAAAAGCGGGCGCGAGGGCGGGAGAGGCGCTGGCAATCCCACCTGCTCAGTGCACACACCTGTCACCTTTGTACAGCGCTTGCCCTCAACTTCTTCCCTCATCTAATCTTCCCACAATCCTGTGGGTAGAGAGCATCACCCCCATTTTGCAGCTGAGAAAACTGGGGTTTAGTATGCTTGAGGGATTTCCTAAGGTCACAGCAAAAGCCAGAAGCCAGGCCTTTTGACTCCAAGCCCAGCTCCTCCCCACCTGCCACCCCACCTCTGCCAGGAGACGAAGGAAGCTGCCAGAGGGAGTGTTCCTGTGGTTGGGGACAAGGCCAGCCCCAGATCACTTGCCCCATGGAGTGAGGGACACAGACAGGCTTTTGCCTGTTGGGCCCCGGGCTTGGTAAAGGAGGGGAGGCCCAGGTCCCCAAAGGAACTCATTAGTTCCACACCTTCCTATAGACACACTGTCCCTCCACCCGTGCAGTGCTCTCCCTGCCTCCCCCTGCCCCTTCCCCAACCTGGAAAGCTCCCCAACCAGGCCCGCTCCATGTCCCCAGCCCCTTCTCCCCTCTGAAGCCCCATGGTGTGCAGAGGCTGAGGCACATCCTTCTTGCTTCTTAATTCCTCTTGGCCCTGACCCTTGTCACATTATTTAGTGAAAATGACCGTTATCTCTACAGAAGCATGCCAGCTCTGCCCAGTGAGAACCCTGTCTCCAGCTCTCTCCAGGCTCAGAGCCACTGTGGGTGCCCCCCTCCCTAGAACCCTTGCACACCCACCCCACCCTGGCCAGCAGTACCGTGTTGGGCATCTGCATTTCAGGATTGATGTAGCCAAGGACATCGTCCAGACGCATAATGTTGTCAATGACGTCATCAAACTGGAAAAGAGAAAAGTCCATCTGGGGAGGGCCCACCAGGAGATGGGCAGGGGAAAGAGGCAATGGGACAGCCACTGACCTGAAGGGACCTTGGAGCCCACCTCACCCAACCTACTTAGGAAATAGGCCCAGAGAAGAGATGAGCTGTCCAGGTCCCACTGGCCCAATGTGAAGCCACGGTTCTTGCCAAGGAGCCTACCTGCCCAGGGAGCTTCCTTGATCTCACTTCTGTCTCTGGCTTGGGGAGTGTGCTGGGCTTTCCCAGATACGCCTTCTGTTTCTCCCTAGCAGAGCTTTTTTTTTTTTTTTTTTTGATAAGGAGTCTCACTCTGTCACCCAGGCTGAAGTGCTGTGGCGCGATCTCAGCTCACTGCAATTTCCGCCTTCCTGATTCAAGCAATTCTCCTGCCTCAGCTTCCCGAGTAGCTGGGATTACAGGTGTGCACCACCATGCCCAGCTAATTTTTGTATTTTAGTAGAGATGGGGTTTCACCACGTTGGCCAGGCTGGTCTCAAACTCCTGACCTCAAGTGATCTGCCCGCCTCAGCCTCCCAAAGTGTTGGGATGATAGGCGTGAGCCACAGCACCTGGCTTCCTAGCAGAGCTTTTGAAAGTAAGGATGGCATTTCCTCTGTGAGGCTCCCTGAGGGCAGGGCTGTGTCTCTGGCTCCCTGAGGAGGGCTCTGTCCCCACCTCAGACTGAGGCTCCCCGAAGGTGGCACCCCCGCTTCTGCCATTAGACCATGAGTCTCAGAAGCACAGCAGTGGGCACGAGCTCTGCAAGCAGCACGGCCACTGGCCAGCTCCTCACTCACCTCCCTCTCAGGGTTGGAGCCAATGTGCAGCATGGCCATGGGGCTATTGGGAGCACTGTTGCCAGCGGAGGAGGACAGCACGTGTCCAGCTCGCACTCCTGGGGAGGCAGCTGGTGGGGGCTTCGGAGAGCCCTGGGCCGGGCTGATGTGGGCGGCAAACTTGTTCCCGTAGGTCTCGGACAGGTACTCCCGCACCTTCTGATGCTGCGACTGCTGCAGATGGTAGGATGTGGGATTCTCCAGGTAGGACTGCACCTGGGACGGGGAAAAGGCAAGGGCTCTAGGGGAGACTGGGACTAGTGGGGACAGGGTAGGGGGCAGGCCAGAACAGGCCCTACCTTCAACACCTCCCCAGGCACAGGTGGTGGCGACTGGAAGTGGACAGGGGTGTTGATGGCCGGGGTGGGCGGCCCCCCGAGCTGCTGCTGTTGCTGCTGCTGCTGCTGCTGCATGTAATGCATGACAGCCTGCTGCTGCATGCGCTCCCGCTGCTCCTCCTGCTGTGCCTGCTCCCGCATGAGCTGCATGCGCAGCCCTATGCGTGATGCCATGGTGGCTGCCGGCGCTGGCTCCCTGTGGACAAGAAGGGGCGGCAGGTATATGAGGTATGTGTCCTCCTCAATGCACAGGGGCTGGCAGGGATCGCATCCATTTTACAGGAGAAGACACCAAGCCCTGAGAGGGGAAGAGATTTGCCCAGGGTCGCTGAGCAAGCGGGTGACAGCTGAGACATGAATCCAAGTTTCCTGGTTCCTGGACCAAAACTGAAGGTTCTGTCTTCTTCACTCATTGCAGTTGGTAAATCCCAAACTCTAAGAGTCAACCTCCGCTCCTCTCTGTGTCACGCCCACATCCTGATCCTGTTAGATCTGATCTCAGATCCATCCTCCTTTGCTGCCACAAGGTGGGCCCAGGTTATCCCGGGTCTTACCCGGAATCCCGCAGGAGCAGCCCAGTATCCAGACTGCCTCCTCTGGCTTGCCCTCGGACGTTCTACTGGCAACTCAGTAGAGCAACTCATTTAACTCCTGTTCAATCCTAAGTCAGATCCTGTCCTCCCCTCTGCTCCCAACTCCCCATGGCTCCCACCTTCCTCAGGGGAAAAGATAAAGTCCTTACCATGACTGGAAAGGCCCCCTAGGATCTAGCCCACCTCATGTTCCCCTTTGACCCCATCCACCAGCTCTCCCTCTTGTTTTATCTGCTCCAGTTACATCCTCCAGGCACTTTACAATCCCTGAAACATCCCAGGCATGCCCCCACCTCAGGGCCTTTGCACTTGCTGTTCCCTCTGCCTGGAATGCTCTCCCCCTAGATGACATCATGGCTCACTCCTTCACCTCCTCCAAGGCTCATATGTTACCTTACAGAGACCTTCTAGGACCACCCTATTAAAATTACAAAGCCCCCCATCCCCACTCCCTATGCTCCTTCCCTTTTATTTTTATTTTTCTCCATATCACTTACCACCATCTTAAGTACTATGCATTTTTGCCTAGCTGTTTCATTCATTGTCTATCTCTTTCTTACTGGGAATGCAAACTTCCCTGAGGGCAGGCATTTTCTGTCTTTCTTACTGCTATACCTTGGGCCTCTGGCCCAGGACCAGGGACATGGCAAATGCTGAATGCATGTGTGAAGAAATGTATCTTATTAGTGAGCCAGGCAATGGGGATACAACTGTAGTTCCTGAGCTTGTGGAGCCTACAGCGTAATAAAGAGGAAGGCAAGGCCACAGGCTTAGGAGGGCCTGGATGGGGAAGGCCACTTCCGAGCACCTGGCACTGCCAGAGCCCAGCGAGGACTTCACCACCCAGTACATCAGCCCTAATCTTCTACAGGGCTCAGTGGGACAGGTGTGACTTAAGCCCCCCAGCCCAGTCTGGAAGGAAAGACAGGGAAGAATGAGTCCTACAGCTGGGCCCATTCTGTCCCTAGCTCATTGAGTGACCCTGGGTAAGTCCCTTCCCCCTCTGAGCCTCCATCTCTCCATGCACAAAATGAAAGGGTTGGACCCAGTAATTTCTAAGGTCCTCCCCAGCTGAGACAGGCTGAGACTCTGAGAGATGCAGGGTTCCTGAGTGTGTCCAGACCCCATGAAGGTCCTGGCAGGTGCTGGAGGGTCCCATCTTGGGGATATTGCAAGAGGCAGTATGACTTTGTGGTTGAGCAAGGACTTCTGAACTGAGAAAATATGGGCTTGAATCCTAGTTCTGCCATTTCTTTGTGTGTGACCTTGGGCAAGTCACTTAACCTCTCTGAGCATCAATTTCTCATTAGTAAACAGTCTCTACTTCAGAAGATTGGAGTATGATATGAAATTAATCGGTCTTGCACAGCATGTAGCACCTGGGAGGCTGAGTGCATGAGACATGGATGGGCACATGACTGGCAGGCAAACTGATCAGTGTGGACCAGAGGCCAGAGCTGTGTCTCAAGCTCCTAACAACGAGGCCCAGACCTCAGTGGGTGACAAAAGGGAAGCAGCAAAGGCTGACATGTTCTGGCTAATGCCAGACGGTGGACTTAGTCAGCATTAGCAAAAAAAAAAAAAAAAAAACTGGCAAATATTCAGTGAAAAATCACCAGATCGTAGAAATAATAATAACTTGCATTTATTTGAGCATTTACTGTATGTCAGGCAATGTTCCAAACTCCTTCACCTCGAACAGCCCTATGAAGTAGTTCTGCGTATTACTCTCCTTTTACAGATAAGGAGAAACAGAGGCACAGGAGATGAAGTGTCTTTCGGCAGTGAAAGGGACAGAGCTGGAACCCAGCCCCAGGTAGCATGGCCTCTGAGCCCATGCTGGGGAGCAGAGGGTCTCCACACAGAGCAGGGAGGAAGCTTATTGCAGGCTGCCTGGCTGCCAGGCCCAGGAATGGAGCCCATGCCACCTGACTGCCAGCCAGGCTTCCTCCCACCACCACTGTGCCTTCCCGACAAGGTAGGAAGGCAGGCAGTGGCCCTCACCCACCCTCCTTCCTTCTCTGCCCCTCTACACCATGAATCAGTAAAGGGGCTGTCTCAGCCCCTTGGGTCTCTCCGCCAGCTCCCAATGGGGCAGTCCCCAGAAAGAAAGAAGCAGATGCCCACCACCCCCTTCCCATCCTGCACAGGAACACAGCTGCAGCCTCCACCCATGCCTTCACCCACCCCCTTCCTATGCTGCTACAGAGGGGTATCCCTATCTTTGTACCCCCACTGCCCACCACACACACACTAGCCCTACAGACCTCATAGGCTCTGACCCCAGCCCAGCCCATCCCCTCGCAGCTGTACCCCCTACACACCCATCCACACGGCACTGGGTCACCCCCCCAACCCTTGGGGACAATCTAACTTCAGTTGGCCCTGGTGGGGGTGTGGGCACCGGGCCTGGTAGTGCCAGCCGGCACAGGGAGGGCTAGGGGAGAACGATCCCCTTGTTTCTCTGACAAAGAGCTGAGCGTCTGGCCTGGCCTCGCCTGGACTGGAGTTGGCTTTGCTATGAGGAGAGCCTGGGCTGGGCCCTGCCTCTCACTGGCTGGACCAGCCTCAGTTCCCTCATCCGCACAATGGACTTGGGAATCCCTGCCCCACCGCGCCCTGCCAGAATCTGGGGGAGCCTCCCGGGAGAGGACGTTGGAGAAGTGGACACAGCAAGGTGTCTGTGCATCAGTGGGTGTCAGTAGCCTTAGCTACCGTCCCCTGTCCTCTGACAGAGGCTGGCAGGGTAGTGAGGCTCCCCATCCCCATTGCTGGAGCTGTCACACCCACAGAGCTTGTCCTCCAGTGAAGCTTCAGTCCTCTCCCCTGGCCCCGGCTGCCAGCCTGGGTTGCTGAATGTGGTGTGGGTGGGATGGATATGGGGTGAGGGAGGGGCCTGAGGGGATCAGAGAGCAATGGGGGTGGTCCAGGACATGCTGGTCCCCCCACCCTCAGCCTCCAAGCATGCCTACTCACTCTCAAACCCTGAGGGGCCACTCACCGCCTCCCTTAACACCCAGTCTGGCCAGGAAGAACTAAGAGGATGGACGTGGGAGAACCAAAATGTCCCTAGCCCCACCCACCATCTGACCCTTCAGACCCACCATGCCTGGAAAGGGTCCACTGTGCGCACATTCAGTAACACTGGGGGCCTGGAGTGCCTACTGCATGTAGACACCAGGGATGGGGCATTTCCCTGGAGAGCCATCTCCCCTGCCCCTCCCAGGTAACATTCTCCTCCTGAAAGGAAGGGTTTGATGCCCCAGAGAATCCCTGCCTCTCCCCCATCGCACAGCTGTCCCCATCGACACCCCCAGGACCCTCCAGCTGCTTCCTGCTGCTGCCCACCCAGAACCTCTCTGCTGACTCCGCCTCAAAGCCCAGACTGGGTTCCAGCTTAGTCATGTCCAAAATGAGTTCTGCAGTCCCACAGGCTCACTGCCCCTACTGGCTAGGCGACTTTAGAAAGCCACTTCACCTCTCTGCTTTGCTGTCTTCCTCTGTAAAACGCAGCACCCGCTAATCACAGCATCTGCCTTTTGGGGCCATTGGGAGGATTCAAGGTAAGTGTGTGGCAGTGGCTTCATAACCAGGGATCCCAGTCTCCTCTGATCAGGCCATAGCTGGTTTCACCCAGCCTGTGTGTGGGCTTTGCCTGTCAGTCATTTACACCTTAGTATGAACCAGTCTTGTTAGAGCCATACCTGAGGGAAGATGTGGGCACAGGGAGGAGAAAGACAAGGAGAAATCACTGGTCTCCATGAGAGAGGCAATGAGAAAGAGGAGCCCAGAAGAGAAAAGTCTCAGATGTATGAAAGAAGATATCAAAGATATAGCACTGAGTAGACAAGGTAACCTGCAGAATAAAAGGCACAGCTTGAGCCCATGAAGCATGAAATGGTGTATGTGTAGAAAACAGGACGATCATAGTAGCAGTCGCTAAATGCTTCGTGAATGATTGCCACGGGTCAGGGCTGGTCAATGTGCTTTTCCTAATGTGAATTCTGTTTTTTCTAGTATTGTCCCCATTTTTCCTGGAGGAAACCAAGGCACAGAGAGGTGAAGGTACTCACTCAAGGTTACACAGCTGATTAAGCAGCAGAATGGAGATATGATCCAGGCAGGCAGCCTGGTTCATAGCCCCCACTCTTTAACTATTATTCTGGGCTCTCCCAGCACCCCAAACTGTTCAGAGTTGTTACCGCTGGGGAGGGGAGTGGGAAGGGGTGATGGAGGGGGAAGGATAAAGAGGGATTTTTATAGTTCCTCGTTCCACTGGAGAAGCACTCAGCTCTTACAGTGGGAATGTGTGTGACTTGTGTGATTCTGTTAACAGGGAAAGGAAGCACAGCAGCTTCTGGGAATTTATGGGGGGCCCGACCTGCTTCCATTGCTTCCAGTCATGTCCACAGGTGGGTCGTCAATGGGAAGGAACCCCCCCAGCTCCACCTGGGCTGGCCCAAACCCTGCCCTGCTCGGTGCAGTGGTCATGAGGCCAGGCGTGGACCCTGGGTGAGGACACCAAGTGGCCAGCAGAGGCACAGAGCCAGGGCCAGCAGCCACTGAGCATTTGGAGCTGGAGGGTCAGGGACCCACTCAGGTT